GTAATGTAATCCTATTTTGCACTGTAATGTAAGCCTACCTTGCCCTTCTCCTTTAGCAAAAATTTAATGATACCCACTTTCTTCATGTTTGCAAAACTGATAGACAACAGATATCAGCTGTGTTTTAAATTTTTCACTCTTGCATTGTTTTTCTGAAATAAACATTAATACCATATGTAATCCAGATTTGATAATTTGTAATCGAGACTTAAAATAGTTTACTATTTACTAAATATCTTTCACTAGTCATTTGAATTCACCCCAACTGAATTCTTATCTTTGACCTGCTTTTGTTCCACATCTTCTCTTTCATGTATTTGTTTCATTGCTTAGGTTACAAATCTTAAAACCATGCAGCTTTCCTTTTCTGTTTCATCCTTTTTTTCTGAGTCCTTCCCACAAAATCTGTTACTTTACATAAGACACTCAGTATCCTACTTCCTTTCTTATCTGTGGCTACCACCTAGGTGTAAGCCTTACCTCTTTCTTTTTTAATTTTTCCTACTGCTCAGATTTCTCTGTTTCTGGTTGTCCCCTGCATCCTGACATCAACTCAGTTTCCATAGCATTCTATTAAATGTAAATTGAGACATGATACTCATCTGTTCAAAACTTTCTAGAGATTTTACATCTCCCTCAAACTAAAAGGCTGTGACCAGGAATCCTGAAATGTCATTTTGATTGGATTCAGAAACACCTATCAGATTAGTAAACCACATTCTTGATTGTTTCTGGGTGCATCATGGAAGTGTGGTCTTGGATAGTATACTGGGTCTTTCACCCAATCCTCTCTGATACTCTCTCTTCTCTGTTTCCTGGCCATCACAAACAAACTGACTGTGCTCTGTTATGCTCTTCTACCATGGTGTCTCTGTCTTCAAGCCAACTAATCATGGACTGAAATAAGAAGCAAATTAAACTTCTTCTCTTTTTAATTGTGGGTACTGGGTATTGGGTCTCAGAGATGAGAAAGCTGACTAATACAGAAAATTGGTACCCGAGAAGTGGAGTCATGCTGTGTCTGTACCTGATCATGTGGTTTGAAAATCATAGAACTGGTTTATGGGAGGAGTTTGGAAAGGTTTGAAGACAAAGGTCATAGAAACTCTGGAATGCTATATACAGAGAGCTAGTCAGAGCTTAAAACACCAGTAAGCTGATAGGAATGCAGACAGCACAGGCTGGACTCGGGAGGGTTCAGCTGGGAACAAGGACTCTATTGTCATTTGGGGTACAGCCTATGTGTACTGTGGCAGAAAAATTTTCTGCATTTGCTCTTGTCTTGAGACCTTGCAGGAGACCTAGACTAAGGGCAGTGGACTGATTAATCTGGCAGTGGAAATTTCAAGATAGCCTAACATTCAGGCTGTGGTCTGGGTACTGATGGCTGATTTTAGCTAGATTAATAGTGAGAATTAGGGGTAAAATACAGAAAAACTTACATTTTGATCCAGAAGGAATAGTGTGTAAAATTGGGACTAAAGTAACTATGGGCTGCTAAAAAGATTAGTGCCCTTAAAAGGAAACCAAGAACTGTGTATAAGAAGTAAGATGCCTTGAGGGCATCTCAGGAATCACCAAGACTCCATCCATTGCAGCCTCAAGGACATAAAAATTCAACCTTTCTTTTGAGAAGAGAGTCCCTGAGACCTTTTCTTTAGAAGGACCTCCTTTTCTTTAGAAGGGAATTGGTTTCCTGGGATTCATTTCACTGTGCTCAGCCATCCAGGCACACAGAGTCCATTGTAGTCATGGTCCTGAGTGCTTCCACTGATAGCAGACCTTGGCATCTTCCATGTAATGTTTATGTTACTGGCAGGAACTGCAGGAATTGTGGGGTCACAGAGACTTTTGACTAGATTTCAAAGGAAAGTGGAAAGCCATGAAAGGAGCCCAAGAGGGCAATTCATGAAGCTGTAGGAATGAAGCTAAAGTTATAGTGGAGTCTCCAGGAAGGAGGAGATGCCAGCAATGTGGAGTGTCTGCCACAGAAAGTTGCAGTGTACTGCTGATTCTGGACATGAAACTATAGGATTTAGTGTTTATCCTGTTGGCTTTTGGGCTCATTTGGACCAATTCTTTTTCTATTCCTGCATTCTTCCCTTTTGGAATGGTAATAATCACCCTGTGCTATTGTACCTTGGAATCATGTAACTTTAAAAAAAAATTTTATAGAGGTTCACAGCTAGGAGTTTGACATGAGTCTCAGAGGAGCCTTGGACTAGGACTTTTGAGAAATGCTGGAGCTCTTGAGACATTTGAGAAGGAATTATTGTATTTGTTCTTGTATGCAGGATAGTTGTATTATGTAGGTGGAATTATAAACTTGCTATTGTCTTTATTTAGTGATGAAGTATACTTTAAGGAGACACATTTGGAGGTGAAGTTGATGAGGGGTGTATGGTGACCATTAATACTGATGTGTCAACTGCATTGGATGAAGAAATTCCCAGTCCATGTGTCTCAGTTGGTCATGTGAAGTGTGGTCTTGGGTATTATATATACATAGTCCTTTGTCCACTGTTGTCTGGCACTGTTCCCCTCCTCTGCTTCCAACCACCATGAAAAAAGCAGCTTTGTTCCACTGTGGCCTTCCACTGTGATGTCCCTGCCTTGGAGCCAGCTGATTATGGGCTGAAACTGAGCAAACTAAACCTCTCCTCCTTTAAATTGTGGGCAACGGCTACTATTGTCCTTGATTTGCTTCTCCTCTCTTAATTCTTTCACTTCTCTGACTGCATATTCCCACTTCTCAGTCTTTATCACGTGTCTTCAACCACACAGCCTTTCATAGTGTTTCCTATCTCTATCACCCAAAAACCAACCCTTCTTTCTTTCCTTATATCTTCTTTTATATGTCACATCCTGTTTAAAATCACTGTCTCACTCTCTGAAGTACTATCAACTTTCTTTGTTTTTCTTAATATCATGTATTCCTTTCTAACAGAGCACATATTTTATTCTTTATGTTATTGTTTGTTCCCCACCCAGTATAAAAACTTGCAAATAACAGGAATTTGGGGACTACATCTTTTTTTGTTCACTGCTATATGTGCAACATTTGAAACAGGACTAATAATGGCACAACAGAGAGCTGGGATGAAATAATATAATGGATGAAATTTTAAGAAGGATAACAGGGAAGGAGTCCTTTTGTGATTTTCCTTTGGAATTTCACCATTTCTTATTAATAAGCCACAACTATTTCTTTAAGAAATACTGTTTTTATTTTATATAACAGATATTTTCTCTTATTGTTTTAGAGTTTTGCTTTCAGCTTTACTTTTTTTTTTTTTTTGATACTGAGAATTAAACTCACAACCTTACACTTGCCAGGCAGGCACTGTGCTACTGAGCTATATCCCTGGCACTGCTTTGCAACTTTAAATGTACTTATTTCTCTCTTCTGAATATCCACTTTTCTGCCATGCCAAAAAAACTTTTTTTCCACTCAAGATGTATTTAAAATTTTACTTATATTTTTTTCTAATACATGTATGATTTTATTTACCATTTTAAAAAATACCTCACTTGATATTTAATACCTCACTTAATAATACTTAGCCTATTGTAAGAAGTAGCAGATTCAACTTTATTTTTTCTAGAATGTTTAGACTATTTAGTAAATCTTTCACTCTTTTCCCACCAATTTGAAATGCTATACTTTTCTATACTGAATTTTTGTATATATTATGTAGTGAAAGAAACCTACTCTTTTGCTGTTTGATTCCTCTATAATGATATGCATTTCCATATGATCATTTTAATTTCTGTGGCTAAATCATTCATTTGAATATTTTTCAACCTAGCTTGACTTTTAAGAACTGTTCTTTCCGTACTTCATATATTTTCACAACCAATATCAAACATTATAACCCCCTTTTCATTAACATTGTGTTAATAGGTGCTGCCTATATCTTGAATATTATAATTCTATTAAACTGTGATAATGTGTAAATGAATATATTTTGAATAAAGTGACCATCCTTTATACTATTCTCTGAATTTTTGTGTCACAGGTATATTACAGTCCTATCACTTAAATGATTTGGTTTATTGTAATATAAGACCATAGTTTAATTTTCTCACCTTTATGAACTTTATTATCTTGCCATACATGGTAGAATAAGGTTTTATTCACTAATTTGTTCCAGATGTATTTATTCTGACTATAACAGAAAGCTGGTGAAATGGCCATGCTTTTTCTGTCTTGGTTTTGTTTTTTGTGAATGTCAGGTCTAGCTGGTGGCTTGCCCTTGTTTCTTGTTTACCAACATATTTCTGTCTCTCATATACCATAGAGCTTAGTGGTATCTGCTTTATCTCTGCTGTGTAACTTTTGAAAAGTTGTTGAAATTATTTAAGTTGTAGTTTTCTCATTTATGTAATGGTGACAATAATAGTATTTTATTGATCAAGTTACAGTTAGAATTAAACATAGTAATTACTGTAAAGTGTTTGCTATGGCATTTGAAACAAATTAAATATGTGATAAATGTTGCTTAAGGTTAATCATAGCACGAATGAAGGCTGGAGTGTAGTTAAAGGAAAAGTTTAGCCTAGTACTAATGATTACTTGAAATTCCTCATTGAAGTGAGCTGTGTCTGTGTTGGAAATTTGGTACGAACAGAGTTCAAGCCTGGCCTGTGCTACAGGAGGTTTAGTTTTTAGAGGATTTACGTGTTATCTTGCAATGCAAAATGGATGCAGAGAAATTTCATTGTGTATTTAGATTAGCAATTTGTGATAGTAAGAATCATTGCCTTTGGTATTTAACAAATTTTTAATTAATTTTTTGAATTTGATAGTACAGCTGTTTTTCTCTTCTAAGTAAACATATTTGTGTGCACATATTTGTATGGTGGAAGCGAGGAAGCCGAAGAAACAAGGTACTGTCTCCCTCCCTGCTTTCCTCTTTCACATCATGAAGCCACCATCTATTTTTGTAATTCTGAGTTGATCCTCGATTTTCCTGACTCATTTTGTCTTTCTTCTGCAGACTCATTCTGAAGAGAGGCCGTTCCAGTGTGATGAATGTAAAGCTTTGTTTCGGACCCCATTTTCTTTGCAGAGACACCTGCTAATACATAACAGTAAGTCCACATTCATGCAGTCAAGAACAGGAAGAATTATCTCACACTTCGTTCTTAGATACTTTGTGGATGTAGGCACCTGGAAGTAAACCTGTAAGTGATTAGGTAATCTGCTTTCAAACATAAGAAGGAGTAATAAATCTGCCTTTAGCCTTTCCTTCCTTCATCATTGCTTTATTTTCCTATTGTGAGCTGTTTTGTGACATTTTATATCTTCCCAATATTTATAGTTTTTTGTATAAAAACCTTAGATTCACAAAGCTATCTTTGAAATTTGTTTTGGAACAGTATTTTTGTTCACTTTCAAAGATGATGATTTAGGAAACAAGTCTGCCTCTCTAAAGCATGGAGGAATCTGGCATGATTTTATAACTCAGTCTTTCAGCATTGGAGCAGATCAGAGTACACATCTAATTTAATTCATTAATTTGAAAAGAACTGAGTGTGTTGAGACTCAGAGGCACAGGGGGATACAGGGGATTAGTCGCTGATAAGTGCCTTTCCCACTACGACCCTGCCTCTGGCTTTTTATTTTGGTGGAAATTTTTTTTTTATTAAAATTGTACACAGATGCACACCATGAAGGTCCAGTGCTTGCATTATTTTTAGAATACTACAGAATTTTTAGTCATATCACCAAAGGATATGGTTTTGAAGAGAAAATGCTATTGCAAAGATGAGATTCAAAGTGTGTTGCCTCTTCAAATGTTGAGATAACCAGATATACTGTTGTTCAAATATTGAAGAAAAATTTGTATACCATGGTTAATATTTACTCTTCTTACTTTTGAGATATTTAGTCATAGAAAATTCTTTGTACATGTGAGGGCCCTATCCTGCTGAATATTAAATTTCTAAGACATGTAAGACAATTAATCAGTCTTGACAACTAGTGTACAGAATAGTATTATGGAAGAAATTTTCTCTGGTCAAGTTGAAGTGTCTAAAATGAAAAATAATAAAGATATTAAGGTTTTTGTAAATACTGAGTGGTAATGATTATGACGAAATGCAGTCTGCTTCCTCTCGGAAAAGATCATGTTATGCTCTCAGACTACTCTGTGTTCACATTACAACTCTGGAGAAGTTGTTAGCACAACTTTCCATTCTCCTTATAAAGAACAACTGTGCATTTAAGGAATAAAATTTTTTGTGAAACAACAGGAATTTCCACCCTATTTCACTTACCATTTTGTTTAAGAAAAGTAACCATGTTGAGATAAATGGAATTTAGTATAGGGATTTACACAAGTAAACCATATTCATCTTGTTAAAATTTTCATAGCTAAATTTAGCCTGAGGCACAGGAATTTTTTTCCTTTGGAAAAATGAAATTTCATCCTTATAAGAGGAAAGAATTTGTAAAAGACGAGATCTAATAATTTAGATTTCAGTTTATTGGTTCTTATCAATTTGAGAAATACGATTGAAGTGGCTGCATGTAGACTGTGGTGTGTGTTATGTATTTATTATTTTGTTTATCAGCACAGTAGTCAGGGGATTTATGCATCATGATATTTGACCAAGGAAACCAATATTTGTAATAGAATGGGCAAAGGAGTCACTTACGGTAAAAGTTGGACCCTACTGAAGACCAGCGACTTAAAGGGGAGGGAAACAAATAACGGCTGAAAGAAAAAGGACAAAACACTAGGTCTTGTTTCACACAATCCGATTTAATCCCATTTAACTGCAGCAGATGAAGGCTGTTACTGGAAACTTACATCTGTACTCTGACGCAAAATGTAAATAAAATGTAACAATTACTTTCGAAATTACTCCTCTTTGCTAATGCATTAAAATCCAAAAGGCAGTTGCTGGTTAGCTTTTTAACTCCTTAACTTTCTTCATATAGCTTGATAGAGTTTTTGTACAAGGGCCAATATTTTGATAATGTAGTGTAAATGCTTTGTTAGGAGCAATCTTAAAGGGTTTTTAAAAGTATTTTTGGTACCTGAAGAGGTTTAATATTGTTAGCATGAAGACTTAAAATCCTTAATCAATTGGTATTTCTTTATATTTGGATTATATATTTTATATAAAGACAAGTTGAAATAAATCTAAAACAGTGTATAAAGACAAGACAGTTAATAAGAATAATACCCTGCAATAAAAGTGTACAAAGGTAACCAATAGACCTAGGCATCAGCATCCACACAGTGGAGTTCATGCTTAGTATTGACATGGCTTTGTTTTATTCATCAAATGTCATCAAGGTTCTTACAAGCAGAATTTTGTTTGAAAAGACAAAGGGAAGGTAATTTTTTCGTTGTTTCTCTTTTTTTTGCTTTTATCTCTCCACCTATTCCTTTTCTTAAATTTAAAGAAATTCTAGGATCTTTTCATTTCTGTACTTAGTGCTAATATATAATAGAAGGAAGTTAGAAGGGCCTGGTTGAAACTGGTTGCAAATGAGGTTATCTCATGTTCCACCTTATAGTTAGAAAACATTTAGTATTTGTATATTGTATCCTGCAGTTGGTATGATATATAGATCTGTGCTACTCCATGTTCAAATACTGATCTATCTTATCTACATAATCATATGCTATTACAATGTCCTATTATAAAACACCATCTTTTAATTACATACATTTATTGCTAAAATTGTATTTACAATGGCCCTTTAGAAGTTAGGAATTCATGTTAAGAAGAGCTACAAAGCGAGCATTATGTGAAAGTGAAAAAGTACCCTCAAGGTCCCTAAGCATATCTTCTAGACATGCTTTCTCCTCAGGCCTAGAAGCTGAATAGTAAGAAGGTAAAAACCCTTATAGAGCCCAGGGGCTGTAGGGTAGAGGTGGTAACTGCCACTCTTCATTTCCTGTCCCAGACTGCCTCTCTGAGGGCCTGGCAGACTGCTTCACAGTAACTGGAGGCCCAACTCAGGGAGATCTGCAGTCCTTGCTCTGAGATAGCGCCGAGGCAGGACAGAATGCAGTGTGCCGCCACCTCTTCCTCTCAGAATTTGAGTGGTATAGGGGGATGTGTCTGTCTGCCCTCAGCTACTTTGCTCTTGGCTGTTATCGGTGACCATTCTGCCTCTGCCCTTTTCTGGAGTTTGGAGGGACAGTGGTGTGATTTAAGAAGAGTTTAGGAGGGGGCCCAAAAGTAAACTCACCTGTGTGACAGCAATAGTGGCTTTGTATCAAGGCAAGGCACTACTCACCACCAGCCCTGGCTTCTACCTGGAAACGCATACTTTAAAACATGTTGGTGGTACCTTTAGGAAATTAGCTAATTCAATTCCTACATTTTCCAGTTAGAGTGATGGAGAATTTAGGAAAGTTAAAAGACTTTCCCCTGGTCACACACTGAATTGGCAAATATGCAACTGGAACGTGTTTCAAGAAAAAGATCATAAAGTATAAAAATAACTTGGATGAGGAATCATAGGACCCTGCTGTTGCATCTTATGTTTCTCCTATTTTGCATTTTATTTCTAAGGTGAGAGGACTTTCAAGTGTCATCACTGCGATGCTACCTTTAAAAGGAAAGATACATTAAATGTTCATGTCCAGGTGGTCCATGAAAGACACAAGAAATACAGATGTGAACTGTGTAATAAGTCATTTGTTACACCATCTGTGCTCAGAAGTCATAAAAAAGTAAGTAGAAGCCTTCTGTGGATTATAGTTATAAGGAGTATGATGGTTTCTTATTAACTTTCCAACATATTTACTCAAAATGATAAAGGTGTAATTTAAGCCAGGTCTTCAGAATATACTCATTTTCTTCATTTTTCTAGAATAGACTTATTTTTTCCATGATAGTTACCTCGGAGTTAATATGGGTTACTCAGTAACCCTTAACTCTGCTGATCAGTAAACCATACAGAATTTCCTGAGTAGAAGCTTACCAATTTTTAAATTTTTGGATTAATGTAGATTTTTTTATTTTGAAAACATGATGGACTTTTAGCTTTCATAGTATTTTTCCCTGCTTGTTGAGATGTTTCCTGGGAAGTGATTAGACTGAGCCGCTGCACAGCTGGCGTGGTTCTGCGCTTTGCATCTGTAGGCCGTAGGGGTTTTCCTAGTACCAAAGAGGACTACATAAGTATTTGCTCAGTTTACATAAAATGGTATTCTTATCTACAGTGACTGGGAGATTTTTTGCATTATTCTAATTAAATAAATACCTTAAGCAAATCAGCAGTTTTTTTTTTCTTTGTTGGTTAAAGGAGTTAAGTATATTTTTCAGACATTATAATTCCTATTTAACAAATGCAGTTAACAGTGACTTCGGAAATGGCTATAAAGTATGATAGTTTCCCACTACTACAAGTTAGCAGTTGTTAAATAAACATGAAGAAATGACTTCCCTTCAGCATGACTTTGGTTTGGGGAACTGTTTTTAGTATAACTGTTTTAAAAAGACTCAATTGAGCAACTCTTTTTTTTCCCCTTGTATCTTAAATGCTCAAGAATAATGATATTATCTTCCTTTTAAAATATGTAAATGGAATAGTCTCTCAGATTTTGCCTGGATTGCTTTGTGTATGCATTTAACACTTGTTTTTAATTTTTTTAGTATATGAAGAAAGATAGTTTTCAACAGAATTTTGTCTGTAGCAGTAGACTGTGACAGATGAAATGTTGGAGTGCATTGTTCATTTTGCATGCGTGTACCCTATTTTGTTCTTATGGTGAATGCTTTCTTATCAGTATCTAAGATGGCTTAGTATTGCACTTTCACTGTCTTATAAAATAAGCTAACCAAATTCTATACCTAATGGTAAGATGTATTTTTGAGTAAAAGCAGATATTTAGTCCTTTTTATTAATATAGCATTAGTGTCCTTTAGTTCAAAAGTTCTGCTACTAACATATACCTTAGGTCTTGTACTTGAAGAATGAAATATTCATGTAACAAGAAAAGAAATCTTGTGGATTTTATAAAGATATAATGAATAAATTGTCACTTACCTGTTTGGAATAACCCATACTGCAATAATAAATGTATAAAGTTTCTAAACTATCTTACACTAATCAAGAAAAAATTATCATATTTTGCCCCTTAGGTTAGGGGATAAGAAAATAGGTTTGTCATATGTTAAAGTGTTATTTTTTTCACTTTAATTTAAGCCTCAGAAGAGAAGGTTCTTATTAAAGTATAAAGGTGTATAACTCTTTTGTATAAGCGCTCGTAGTAAAGATGGAAAGTTAAGGGCCTGCCAAGTGCTTAATCATAGAGATGGCCAAGTGTGGCGCTTGAGTAGACTATGTTTGTCCAACCTGAGTACAGCATAAATCCTTTCAAGGGAAAAATGTTCTGGAGGACTACACTTCCTGATGTTGACTAAGGCATTTAGTTTATATCTGTCACAAAAAATGACAGAGACACTTGCATGCATCCAAAAATAGATCATAATACAAATATGCAAACTTGCAAATTAAATACCAGTAAACTGTGAAAGAAATCATGTTAAAGTTAACAGTTAATTGACTGTGGAGGATGAAAATGTGCTATTAGTAATTCAGTGACTTTACCAGGTGGCATGGTCACATCCTGTCCCTTTTTCTCTATCACAGCCAATTTTTCCTTCTAAGAACACCCCATTTTAAATAAACGTTTCCTCCTTCTTTTCATTAATTAATGACAATTCAAATAACAGTACCTACCAGTAATGTTGGTAAGAACTAATGGGGACACAGGCCCTGGGAGCTCCGTTTTGTGAGAGTAACCCAAATGACCCACTGTCTGTTTTTATTCATGTTTAGGTTATCATTGGAACAGATTTCCAAAGTATTCTCTAGAACCTTCAGATACTTGAAGGAATTTACTGCCCCATCCATCTTTTTTTTAACCTCTTGAGTTTGAGAAACTGTGGGGCTTTCCAGGTAGCTTTGACCCCTCATTTACCGAAATGATCTGTTTTGATGTTAATTAGAAAAGCTAGTCTTCTAATGAGACTGTGAGGTCAGTCTAGAACACTCCATCTGCCCTTTCTGAAGCGGCCACTTTTTAAACTCTGCAGCATTTATTGAGACTCATTTTTGATAAGACTTCTTCACCTTTCCCAGGGTGATTGTTTCATGCCTCGATTAAGGTATGTTGAGGGCAGAACTGCTTCTTCAAACTCAATTAACACCTGCCGATTTTAAAGGTAAAATTAGATTTATGTTCCTTCCTGCTTTGCACTAAAGTCAGTCCAGACAAGCATAAGTAACAGATGACTTTATTGAGATTAATTCTGTCCTCAAGAGTTAAATGTGCATAAAGAATGTGGAAAATACTTCAGAGGAAGTGTTTCTTGGCAGCAGTTGGGGCAGTGATAGCCCCGTTTTGACTACATGGTTTTATCCTCTTATGCTAGTTTTGTATAGGTGGAGGCTCCATAAAGGCTTAAAATGTAAACTGCGGAATTATTTCCAATTAACACTAATGCACAGTTCTGTAGGGTTTTGGAACCCCTGGGAATATCCATGATAAATTGGTCAAAATCTCGTTGTAATATTAAAACGTTTTAATGAAATATAATCCTGGAAAATAAGGATTTACTATTGTCAGAGGCACTTAGTCACCTTTACCCAATTCCTTCAGTGTTTGTCCTCAGCGCTTTTTATCCCTTTCCATGTAGACACACACCGGAGAAAAGGAGAAAGTCTGCCCATATTGTGGCCAGAAATTTGCCAGCAGCGGGACGCTGCGAGTTCACATCCGGAGCCACACAGGTATGGAAGGGGATGGGGATGAAAACAATGGAGAGAGTTTGCACCAAAACAGGGAATGCTGTGCTTTGCTGAAGTAAATCCAAGATCAAGAATTAGTCTTCCTTAAAGGGTTGTAAAATCCAGTTCCTCACTCTGTAAGAATTTTGAATTACTGTATTTTCCTCAATTAAGTATAACACCTTGCTGGGGATTTAGCTCAGCTGCAAAGCACCTGCCTGGCAAGCGCAAGGTCGTGAGTTCGGTTCCCAGTACCGGAGAAAAACCAAAAAAAAAAAAAAACACCTGAAGTGGTGTTCTTTTCCAGTGGTCGCTTATGATATAACACTGACTTATGTTTCGTAGCAGTCCAGCGGATAAAACAGAGAATAACAGTTTTACTTTATGTAGAAGGCTGCAGACCTATTTCAATCTTCTGTAACATGTCAAACATTGCCCATGTAAATTTACAGTCTTTGAAATGTAGCTTGAATGCTGTAGGATCTCATTGTATGCGAGTGAGATGTGACTATTAGGCTGTGGAGTGCTTCCTGAGGGTTCCCTGCTGTTCTTCTTCCCATGCCACTTCTCCAGTGGAAGAGGGTGTGCCTCTGTGCAGGGTAACCAACAAGCATTCTTAAAAGAACCTTGTCTGGATTTTATCTATCATCTATATAAGCACTTGAGAAAGACCTGAAGTAATATTTTTTATCTTGATATCTAGGTGCTTTTACAATAGTCTGAAATTTTAAGTAGCTAGACTGTATTTTTATGATTGACAGTGCAGTTGACTACATAGCTGAAGCTTCCTACTCAGCGGCCATAGTGTTTGACTTTAACCATTGTGTGCCCACCTTGCATAGTGTGTAGCACAATAACCATGCTGTAAGTGAAGACATGTTAGTGTAAGAGGCCAGAGAATCTATACTGTGGCTACTACACATGAATGAAGGAAGGGACAAGAGTGGAACACAGTTTATTAGTGTTCAAGTTAGTGTTTGTTGTCTTATAATAGTCACTTAAATACGTTTGAATGACACATATAACCAAGACTAGATCAAGCATTACCCATATGTCTGTGGACCTCTAGGAGGGCCTTCTTGTGTAGAGGTTATCTAGAGAAAGCAAGGCATTCTGAACAAGGTTGAGTGGTGCTACAGCAGGAGGGAGCAACAACAGGAGAAGTGGAGAGAAGAAAAGGAGCCACAGAGACACGTTGGGACGTGTGTACTTGGAGTATGCATGGCTTGCCCACCATGTGTGGATTGTACAGTGGAAGGAAATCATTGCTGAAAAGGGAGCAGAGGATTGTGAAGTCTGAGACCTGCCCCGGCAGTTTAGTGGCGTAGCCTCTGACGTCCTTGGCATTCCCCTCTCCTGTGTGTGGGGGAGCTGAGTGGATTTGGGGTGGGATAAAGGTAATAGTTAAGCCAGCAGCCTTCCTCTCTGTTTAGTAATCCTTGGCCAATGTCTTTGTGCCACCCCAAATATGTAATTTCCTGTGGGCATGGTGGGCAGGTGCGCACATTTGTGCTCGTGCCTGTAATTTGTGCATGGGAGAGGGCAGGTAGGGAACAGGCAAAGTGTAGTTCATCTGCATAGCAGAGTTATGAATTCAGTGACCTGAGACATCATGATCTAATTCAATTATGTTTGATGTACAGTATTTTTAAAAGGCAGGAACTTTTACTTCACAGAATGCATTAAGACATACATCCCAGCACAGAAAAGGTGAACCCAATCAGGTAGAACACTTGATTTTTCAAATTAATTCTATCATTGAGAATTTCCATGTGCATGTGTTTTATTTTACTTCTGGAAAGATGGGCAATAGAGAAGAATAAAGCACTTGAACTAGTAATTGCTTCTAAAATTTTAGTTATTACGCTCTACAAAGCTCCAATAAGAGAATTTATTTTGAGGTCCAAGAATTTTAATTAAAATATTAAATATGTTGTCTTTTGTTGTTGCCTTGAATTATGTTTTATATTACATGCAATCTAAAAATACTCTAAACTCCGTCACTTTTTACATGATTTGGTTATTTCTGTAATGTCTGAATCTGTGCCAAGAGCTGTTAATTAATGTGGCTTCTGATCAAGAGCACGGCTATCTGAATGCTGACAGCAGTGCTGAGTAGCAGTGAGCTAATGTGTATTTCAACAGATAGGTAGATAGACACCTCAGATAGATGCTGAGGCACAGAGCGTCTAGACAGGACATCTTGACGGGGAGGGTATTTGTGCAAGTAATTGTATAACTCTTAATTTTTATATAGTTACTTACTCAGAACTAGGCTTATCTGTTTAAAATTAGACTCATTTCACTTTCACATCTTACAGTCCCTCTTTGGGTTATTTTGATGTCAAATCTGTTAACTTTTAACTTCCTGGCAGTGCACTGGGGCTAAGTTGGAAGTACGGGGTGCCAGACACTGTCAGTGACCACAGAGACCTGGCTGGTGGCTGATGTCCAGGCTTCCAGAACAGTCCCGACATGGATTTCTTTTCTTGTGTGAACAAATGGTGTTTCACCTTTATTTTCTTTGTCCTTCCTCCTAAATGATGCACATCTATGAACCTTCCCTAACTACATCCTGGCTCAGTGTTCATGTGGGATTGTATAATTATTTTGCTGTTCTGACAGTAGAGCTGTTATCATTTTGAGTTCTGTTTCCTCGCCCTTTATTTTACCTATAAAGTCAGATGACTTTATTCAGCCCTCTTCTAGTGCTAGGTGTAGCAATTTATGGTTGTGCTATGGTGTGGCATAGGTAAAGGGTTATGGTATAATCTTTAGGAAATATTTCATTGTACATGACTTAGGGAAGATACAGTGAAGGAGCAAGAACCGTGAGTGAAGATGGTACGTGAACGTCGAGGGTAGTGGATGCAGCCCCTGTGAAACAGAGGCCAGTGGTGTAAATCTGTCACCTCATGCTGCTCTTACGAACAGTTTGGGACCTCAGGGCGCTAATGTGGGCTATGGCTACACTGTTTAATATAGTAGCACTTAAAAACTTCTTACTGTGTTAGAAATTCTTTTGAAAAATGTTATTTTGATAAAAATAACAATATGCTCATTACATGTTAATATTTTAATAGTAAATAACACCATTTTTTCCAAACCAGAAATCATTTAATGAGACTGGAGACACTGCTTTACTTTTCTACAAATCCTTACTGTCTGGTTTAAGAGAAGACAGCCAGATTCTCATATCTGTTTCTTCATTCATCCCCTCGCACTGCATAGTTTTGGTTGCAGAGTTTCAGAGAAATCTGGCCTCATATAGCTAGACAGTTAAAGCAAGAGATTATGTTGTCTTTCTCAAATAATTTTGCATCTTATTTGTTACCACATTAATAATTAAAATGTGGTAGTTCTTTTTAAAGGCTTGTAGTATGGAGTCGAAAATTATCTCAATGAACTTTCCCTGTTCTGTTATGTTCAAATGAATTGGTCTGTTGAACTTTGAATGATCTTTTGCCCTTGACAATTCTATAACATGATGCATAAGTAATTTGAAATATATCCTGTCAATGACTTGAGATCTTCCACATTTGTTAACATCATCACTGATCGCATTAGACAGTCTGAGTATTTAGAAGCCCTGAAGCACATAAGTGCAGGTACAAGATTTCCAAAATTCCAAATTTTGTTTGTCTGTTTTATTTTTTGTATTTTGTAACAAATACTTTGATATCTATCATTATTTTTCTAAAATAGGCTTACTTCCTTTATATTCAAAACTAAATATGCATGGATTACCCGATTTTTACTAATCATACTTTCTCTCTGTGATTTTGCTTTATGTTAAAATGGTGTTCCATGCAAGAGGCTGCCAGCACACCTGCCAACTCCATCACACAGTTCCTTTCCTTAGGTGACTTTCCTATATTAAATACAATTACGAATACTTCCAGCTTCATTCCCATTACATCACAAAGAATATTAAAAAGATAGTACTCAAGAGTTAGAATTTAGTAAAGTTGTTGATTTCTATTTTATCAAGGATATTTTCAAGTGAAGCTGGCACTTATTTCCACTGTGAGTGCGTGGGTGTGGACGCGTTCATAACTAGTACAAGTTTGAGACCATTGGCCCATACACACTAAGACAGCAGCAGTTTCAGCCCTCTCCCATTACTCTTGTACCATTAATGCAAATGACAACATAGTGGAAAAGGCAAATAACCTAGGAGGATTGTTATGAAAGTATTTTTGACCTTGCAGACCTTGTGAAAATCTTGGAGAATCTGCATAAGTAAATGGGTCCTACTTTAAGAACTACTGCTAAGTGGATAAATCCCTACCAAAAAAACTGTGTGTGTGTGTGCATGTGTGTTTGTGTGTGTGTATTGGGAGGGAGTAAGTAAGGTGCAAAAGGCAGGGAAGAATGTGTTGACTCATGAAAATAAGGACTCAGATGACAAAGGACCATTCTGTATAACTAGGACTATTTCTTTTACCCAATTACTCACTGGTATTCTAACCTTTTTTTTAAGCAGCTTTATTGAGGTATAATTCTCATACCATACAATTCACCCACTTAACAAGTTAGTAGTTTTTAATATATTCACAAAATTGTACATCATCATACAGTCAATTTTATAACATTTTTATAAAACCAGAAGAAAACTGTACCTGTTATCTGTCATAATTTAGAAACATTTTTCCATTGCCTCTTTATCATGTGTTACATTATCATGGTATGAGGACATTCCTGCCTAGGAGCCATTGAATTATTCTCCTTCAGAATTTAACCCTAATCCGTTAGGATTATTTACATATCCTTTGCACTAAAAACTGAACAACGTTGTGCCTTATTATACCTGGCAGTTGATGTGACTTTAAAATATAAAAATGCATACTTTTCAGTTCTAAGAAATGCTATTTATACTGTTATTGTTATTATTATAATTTCATGTCCGCTTTTTCCTGCCCCCTTTTTTTAATTTTAAAGACAATTTTAAAAAAGAACAATAGCTGAATACCAACAACATACATAAAAAGAAAACAAAGCAA